TTAAATATTAGCAATGGATTTTAGTAACAGACAATCAGTTGCAAAATTTACATTGAATTTAACAACGGATTTTCCGTTGCTAATTGAAAAAATAAAATTTAAATATTAATATAAAGCTGAAATTATGTAGACCGTTGATTGCATAAAATCTAAACCATTTATTTTCGCTCTTTCCCCCCACATCGAAATACAGAGACCAACAAAATCATTTACAACTGAAAATTATATCACTTTCACTCTTCCAATGCATCCGTCATCCCTAATAACAATGTCAATCCCTAACTGTTGAAAAATCACCCTCTCTTCATCGATTTCATATTCCTTTATCCCAAAGTGTTCATCATTTTCGCATTCATCTTCAGCATCCCTAATTTCTTTTCTTCATCTTCTTCTCCTTCATCTTACCAGTTTCAATATTTCTATATAAACCAAGAAAAACAGAGACCCATGGTAACATCGCACCAGACCCATCATCATCAGTATCGAACATCCTGATTTACCCTTTCTCTGTAAACGGGTTAGGTTTTGCACTTTTTTCTTCAATAGCTCAGGTAACTAATTTAGGGTTTTTATTTTTTTTTGTTGCAATTGAAGTTACACTAAACAGTTCTAACCTAAATTTTCTAATCTCAGGTGTTATTTTTTCGTGTTGATCCATCTCTCTCATCTGTAACTGAAGAACGTACAGGTAACAATTGTTTTTCCTGATACTTTGAATAATAATTTTAGGCTATTAATTCAATAATATAAGGTTTATAAAATGTTTTTACCATGATTTATAATCTAATTATGCATGTTTAATTGAAAATTTATTAAAACCCCCAAATTAATTTTTAGGGTTACGGTTCATAAATTGAATGATTTTATGCAACTTGACCAATGCTGGCAATTCTTGTGTCTGGAAGAGAGTGATTTATGGAAATTATGTCTGTTTAATTGAAAATTTAGCAAAACCCCCAATTTAATTTTTAACAATTAGTTTTTTGATGCTGGGTGTTCTTTGATGGGTGTTCTTTGATGTCTGCAAGTCTTTTTGTCCTCCTGTGCGCCAACACCTAGGTGATTTGAATGTATTCATATTCTTATATATATAAAAAGAAACTTGGTTGTTGATGTTGTGTTTTGTTAATAAGATTGTTGTTTTATTTTTGTATCTTCATTCATTCTTTTTAAGCAAGCTAAACATGCTCTCTTTATTTGTGGGGTAATCATGTGGATGGCTTGTCCTGGATAATGGCAGTGGAATCTCAGCACCACATACTAGTTGAACATGCCATAACAGTAGCAATTGCTTGGAGATATTTCAATTGGAACTCTCTCTATTCTCTGTATACATTGTCTAGGGTTTCCAAGTTCTTGGTAGGGCATATATGCCTCTATAATTAAGGTGGGTTTGACAAGAACTTGATTCTACTTCTTCTTCTTTTTTTATCCCAAGTTAAAAAAAATGTGCATGGATGGAAGTTGGGCGGCTTAATGTTTATGGTGGTTATGCTTGGAACAGGAGAAAAAAATTGCTTTCAACAAAGTATATTCTAAAAGGCTATCTTAAAAGATAATTGTATATGATAACATGGATATATTCCACTTTTCATAACTGAAAGATAGCCAAAAAAAACCTTGTAATATCAAATATGTATGTCAATTCTTGGATTTCATTGATGTCAGATATTTATGAAATTAATACTTGCTTTAAGAACTTGATTCTAGTTCCATTGCTTTATCTATCAAAGCCCTTTTCCTTTTCCTGAATAATAAAGTTCTCAAGTGATTTATTTTGACTGCTAGTAGACATAAATGTATGTATATGTGTGTGTGGAGAGCATGAAACATGCTTAATCATTTCAATCAACTAAAGGTTAGTTGAAACTGAAAATCAACTAAAGCTAATTTGATCCCTGTAGTACCATAAAGCAGTATGCTTTCAATATTTAATTATCCATAAAGACGTAGTTTATAAAGGATAAATCCAAATTAGTATAACCTTGTGTTTATTCTTAAGTATGCTTAATAAGGTTAATCTTAAAAGAGAAGTATTCTCAATAAGGTACATGAATTATTTCGGGAACATTTTAGCAACACATCATCTCTTCCTTTGTTGAGATGACTAAAGCTCACAACTGTTGTAGTACCTAATGCTTGCTTTGTTATTTGGCTCTTTTTTTTTAATTTCTGGGTCCTGACATGACTTTGTTCAATATGATGAATTAGGTTTTTAAGCGTGGCAGCAAGTTATCTTCCTCAATAATTAATCAGCCTTTGGGTTCTTCTTTGCACGAAAACTGTGTGTTGCGTTCTTATTATTATTTACTATGGTCTCCTTAATGCTTTGTTCTTTTGAGGTCTTGTGCTCTTATACTACATGTCATTTACATGGAATATCATTTAATGCATCCAGCTTCCGTTGTGTTATGCTTTTTGTACCTTGTTGTTTTGCTCTTTGAACTAAAAGCATGTCATTAGAATTTCCTTTTATGCTACGCTTTGATTACTAGGGACTAGTAATAAGCTGGTTGGGGGGTGTGATTAGTACTTAAAAGTGCATTTTTATCATGGTTTTATATCATCATTTTGCACTTGAAGTATCAATAACTCCTTAACCAAAGCATGTTTTATAATAATATATCTAATAATATAAGATACCTTTAATTTGTGGTAAATGTTCATTTTAAATGCAGGCCTATCACATAAATGAAAGGATTGATTGATGACTTGAAGAACTTAAATTGCAAGGATAAAGAGATGGCCAAACTTAGAAAAGAGATGTCGGTGCAATCCAAACCGGAACACTGTTCGGTAATTGGGTCATATCTAGAGCTATATATCTCATATTTAGGTCCAATTTATATGGATGGAAAGGCAAGACATAGGCCTACAACTTTCATATGGAGCCCAAGATCTAAAAAGGCCATTATCAAGTCCAAATTGTAGCAACAACAAAGAAGCCCGAATCTGTCTTCTAGCCCGAGCACTGTTCGGTATTTTGGCCATATCTGGAGTTCTAGAAGTCCAAATGAGCTGAATGTTTTACACAAGAAAGCTGAGACAATTTCCTACAACTTTCATGTTTGCAACTGACTCCAATTTTGACGTTATCAATGACGTTTTAGGCAGACAAGAGAAGATAAGGATTGTCACCAAGTCAAAAGTTGGCCACCCACTAATCAATTAGTCATCAAATCAATAGTTCCCAATTTTGCTTTCATTAATATTAAGTTTGTGCCTTTCATTTCCTTTCCTTTACTTAGTTAACTTTTATGTTCTTATTTTGTTTATCTATTTTGCTTTCTTTCATTATGTCTAGCTAAGTTAGTTATGTCAAGGGGAAAAGGTTACACTAATGGTGTAAGAATAAGTATAATGTAAACTTAATATGGACTTTAATGTTTGCTACTAACATGTTTTATATTTGTTATCTTGTTCAATCTTTAATACTTTGCTTGTTAAATGACTAATCTTGATTTATGTTGTATAACATTTGGTACAACAAATGCTTGGCACTTTCATATCCCATAATGTATGGTATAACCGACACCTGAGCTCTGAAAGGAACTTGATTTGTTGTTAACATAAGGTATAATCATGAATGCTTGACGAGATTTACAAGTATTAGCATTAATTGAATAAGATGACTAATGTAATCATCTTAACAATATATAATCTGATTGGAACCTCCTTTCTGTGTGGTTTCCAATTCAATAATAAGAGTTTATACTATACTTGTTTGATATACCATTAGTGGAACCTCTAACCTTGACATTTGTTATTATTATTGTTTAATCCTTACATTAATTTTCCATCTCCAAGTTCTCCATCTCCAAGTTCTCATCATCTTCTTCTTCTTCTCTTTCTTTATTATTATTAGTACTACTACTACTACTACTACTACTATTATTATTATTATTATTATTATTATTATTATTATTGTTATTATTATTGTTGTTGTTGTTGTTGTTGTTGTTATTGTTATTGTTGTTGTATTATTGTTATTTATAATTTGTACAAATAACCTCCCTGTGGTTCGACCCCAGTCTTGCTGGGTTATTTATTACTTCGACACTCCTGCACTTGGGAGAAGACATCAATCTTTTAGTCGTGTCATATGCAAACGCTTGGTTTTGTAGAAAAATTATGTCCTGCCCATAAAAATTCATATTAAGTTTTAGGTTTTAAGAGATAATAATTACAGTAAATTATAATTAATTTTTTTGAAAACTATAAGTTAGTTCCTTGTTATTAAATTAAATGAAATTTATCAGGTTGGATCTTAAATGAAAAAAAATATTTGTTATGAGAAGACAAGTGCCAAAAAAATAATTGATATTTAATTATTATTTCACTATGATATAAAGCATAGATACATTGTATATAATTAAAGAGACAAAGATACAAATGTTGGAATAAAAATAAAAAGATCTGAATATATGATTATGATTTTATTTACCATTTCTTAGGTTACCAAAAAAAGATTTGAATAAAAATAAAAAATTTGATGGATCTAATAAAAATAAAAGGCTAAAAAAAAAAAAAAAAACTCATTTGAGGTTGTAACAAAAGTTAGAAGGATCAATAAAAAAAAATTAAATCCAAAACTACTGGAAAGATAAATTTATTTAATATTTTTTCAACTAAATATTTTTTTTCTTTATCCATTTATTCTGTATAAAATACTAATCAAATATAATCTAAAATTGTACTTTTGTCAATAATTGGCTTATATAAATATAAATGAAAATTATTAAGATTTATTTAAAGCAATTAACAAAAACTCAATAACAAAGACTAGAAGGAAAATAATTATCCAGGTTTTAACAAACACATGTGCATATATCCCATCATTAACATTTTTTAGCTTGATATATGTTTGAACTGGACAAATAATTATAGTTTATTCATGTTGTACATATTTTATTTTAAAGGATTGTTTAAATAGTAGTAGTTAAAGAAGTATGCTTATTTCTAAAAATGCTTATTGATGTTGTCCTGTTAATTAGATTAACATGGATGATCGATCATGGATGTATCGTCGTCTTATGGATGGTCGCCTTCGTCTTGAATACATTACCAGTGTTAGAAGATTTATCAATTTTGCATTTTCAATTGATAAAAATATATCTGGGGGAAAAATTAGATGTGTTTGTAAACATCTATTGACAAAAGGTTTTATACCTTGTTATGAAAATTGGACAGTACATGGGGAGCCTTATGTTACAGAACCAATATTGGCTGGACCTTCATCAATTGGAATGAGTCATGTTATGAATGATGTTTATCTAGAGAATCCATATAGAAATCTAGTTATAGATGCAATGGGGGTTGGTGATGCATTCTATAATGATAACGTGTCTAGTCCTATGGTAGCAGGGGAAATTCCAAATCCGGAGGCAACTAAATTTTTTAATCTTTTGAAAGCTGCGGAGGAGCCGTTGTGGGATGGGTGTACCAAGCAATCCAAATTATCTGCTTGTGTACAATTGCTTAATATGAAGTCAACATTTAATTTGACTCAGAATGCCTTCAACAATTTTATTGATTTTACAAAAAGTTGCATGCCTAATGATGAAAATTTGGTATCAAATTTTTATGATGCCAAGAAATTTATGCGACCACTTGGACTTGGGTATGAGAAATTTGATGTGTGTCCTACTTATTGTATGTTGTACTATGGGGCTGATGCAATGAAAACAAATTGTGATTTTTGTGGAAGTTCACGATACAAACCTAGAAATCCAACTAGTAAAGGTTCCAATAAGGCAGAGAAGCAACTTCGATACTTTCCCTTAACACCAAGGCTTCAAAGACTGTTCATGTCTCCATATCATGCCAAAGATATGACATGACATCATTTTCACAAGTCAGATAATGGGGTTATGGTGCACCCATCTGATGGGGAGGCATGGAAGGAGTTTAATCGTGTTCACTTCAGCTTTGCATCAGATCCGAGAAATATTCGATTAGGGTTGTGCACTGATGGGTTTTGTCCATTTGACACGTCTTCAAATACATACTCTTGTTAGCCAGTAATTGTGACTGTTTATAATTTGCCTCCATGGAAGTGCATGACTAGACCATTCATGTTTTTGACAATGCTGATTCCTGGGCCAAAGAATCCGGGTAAAAAGCTTGATGTTTTTCTAAGACCTTTGATTGATGAGTTAAAGAATTTATGGTCTGTTGGTGTTGAAACATATGATGTCTACAGAAAAGAAAATTTTCAATTAAGGGCAGCTTTGATGTGGACCATTAGTGACTTTCCAGCATATGGCATGTTATCGGGGTGGAGTACTCATGGAAATCTGTCTTGTCTTTATTGTATGGAGCATAGCAAGGCTTTTAGATTAAAACATGGATGGAAAACTACAATTTTTTTATTGTAATCGACGATTCCTACCCATGAACCACCCATATAGACATCAATCAGATAAGTTTTTGAAAGGAGTAATTGAAAGGCTCCCTCCTATACCTCGTCCATCTGGTTTGGAAATGTTAAATGAAGTGTCCAAGTATACTGAGGGACATATTGGAGGTTCATCATATAATGTTAAAATTCCAGGATTTGGTGTTAAACACAATTGGGTGAAAAAGAGTATTTTTTGGGAGCTTCCATATTGGCATATAAATTTGATTCGTCATAATCTTGATGTCATGTATATTGAGAAAAATGTCTTTGACAATATTTTTTATACAGTAATGGATTGTCCTTATAGAAGCAAGGACAATTTAAAGGCTAGGTTGGATATTCAATTGTATTGTCATAAGCCAAATTTACATTTGCAACAAGATATGAGTGGTCGGGTTTACAAACCTAAAAGCACTTATTGTCTACACAAGAAACAACAACAAGAAGTGTTGTCATGGATGAAGGAGTTATCATTTCTTGGTGGTTATGCTTCAAGCATTTCACGATGTGTGAAAGAGGCACAATGTAAGGTTTCGGGGATGAAGAGCCATGATTGTCATGTCTTCATTCAAAGACTTCTTCCAACCACTTTCCGACCTTACTTACCTAGGCCATTGTGGGAGGCATTAACTGAACTATCCGTATTTTTTCAAGATATTTGTTCAACAAATTTAAATGCCCAGCACATGGAGTTAATGTAGATGAATATAATTGAAATAATTTGCAAACTTGAAAGGATTTGCCCTCCATCCTTCTTTGACTCCATGGAACACTTGATGATACATCTACCTTACGAGGCAAAAGTTGGTGGACCAGTTCAATATCAATGGATGTATCCATTTGAACGGTATGTTTCATACTATGTTCATTTTATTCATTTTTTTTAATAAACTAATTGAAAAAAATGATATAGGTATATGTTTTATTTGAAGAAGAAAGTTACCAATAAAGCTAAAGTTGAGGGTTCCATATGTGAGGCGTACTTGATTGATGAAATTACCAATTTTGCATCTCATTATTTTGGTGATGACGTGCAAACAATTTAGAATCGAGTTCCACGGAATGATGATGGTGGCCTTAAAAGTGTAGATGGATGTCTCTCTATTTTTTCCTATCCAGGAAAAAAATTATCCAAAAGATTTTATAGAAGGCAGTTGTCACATGCTGAAATGCAAATTGCGCACAACTATGTGATATTCAATTGTCAAGAACTGAAGCCTTATTTAGAGTAAGTATGAAATATTATTTTTTACTAAATTTATAATAATTTATTATTAACTTTAACATTTTTTAAATTTTAGGCAATGCCGTCAAGAGCTAAAGTCACAACAACCATATGCGAGTGATGGTGAAATTCAAAAATTATGCGAAGTGATCTTTCCAAATTGGTTAAAAAATAATGTAAGTTTTTTAATAAAATTAATTTATATTTTATGTCAATTAGTTACTTTAAAAATATTATTAATCTCTTTTAAATTATTATTTCTTATGGAGTTAACTATTATGCTAGGTGGAATACCAATCTAATGGTATTATGTGAATGGTTTTAAATTTCATACTCAACGTTATGGTCGTTTTAAAAAGACAATGAATAGTGGAGTTTGTGTGAAAGGAAGTTGCTATGATGATAATGAACGTGATTATTATGGAATGCTTAAAGAAGTTGTTCGGCTAAAATACTTAGGGAGTAAGTGCAAGTTATTCATGTTTAAGTGTAATTGGTATGATACAAGATGAGGAATTAGAGTGCATCCTTCAAATGGTTTGGTTGAAATCAAGCATACATCTCGACTACAAGGAAATGAAGATTTTGTGCTAGCACAACAATGTCAACAAGTCTACTATACATATCCACCTGGTAATAAATCATCTGAATGGTGGACGGTTATTAAGACAATTGCTAGAAGTCGTTATAATGTTGACATGGGTGAATTTATTAAAGATGCCAACAATGTAACATCATTTGATGTTGATCAATTAGATGAGATTTCTCAACCATGTTGTGTCCTTCCTACTCAAACACTTGTTGATCCAAATATACTTGTTGAATCATCTTATTATGAAGAAATTGGGCAACATGAATTGCTTCAACTTGACATAAATTGGGGAAACAAAGATGATGAAGAAGAAGATGATGATGGTGACGTTGATGGTGATGGTGATGGTGACGATGATGGTGATGGTGATGGTGATGGTGATGGTGACGGTGATGGTGATGGTGATGGTGATGGTGATGGTGACGGTGACGGTGACGGTGAAGAAGAAGATGATGATGATGAGGATGAGGATGATTGTTATGGTGGTGATGGTTAGGAGTGATGATAATAATAAGTAGCGCAATTTAATTATATTTTGTAGTACATGTAATGAATTATCTTTAATATATGTATGGATAATTTCATATTATTTGACAATATTTACTTTTTCAATGTTTTTTATTTATTATTTTATCATAGTGTGTTATGTATCACATTACATATATCATTTTCATTGACCTTTGAAAAAATTTCTAACCTTTCAAGTATCAATATTTAAATTGTGATTCTGATGATATATTTTATTTTGTGATTTGTTTTCTTGCTTATAGATGTTGAAGAATGAATGAAAAGGTTTTTCCTACTTAGTGTTTGATTTATAAGAACAAACATTAAGGTAAGTATACTCATAAATTTTGATTTCTGTTTAATTAATTATTTAGATTTTTATTATTATTATTATTTGTGTTAATTGGCTTTTGATAATTTAAACTTCATGGCTGATTTTTATCATTGCAAGGAATGCTTAATGAAAATATTGTGAATCTTTTGTTCCTCATAGTTTAATTATAAGCTAATTTATTGTTATGTGTATATATTCATATCATAATGTATATATTTTTTCTGGTTTTTAGCATGCCTCGACGAGGATCTATATTAGATTCTAGGAGTGACAGGTCCACATCAAGGAGTGACAGGTCCACTTCATCCAAATCATTTCAAACTACATCAAGGCATAATAACAAAGGATCCACATTTCATCAACTTGTGTATCAGAATGCAAATGAGTATTATATACCTACTTTGGGGAGTACACATCCTCCTTAACGTGATTATGGGAGGGTTGATGCATATCAATATTGTGAGGGCTTTCGTTTCCAAGATTTGCTTCAAACTCAAGGAGGTTTCTCTCGAGATAACCAATTTGTTTATGGAGGATATAATTTGTATAGGAGTTATGAGAGAGTTAATGGTGATGATGATGATGTGAACGTTAGAGATGAAGACGAGGGAGACGATAGTAATGAGAGAGGTGTATGTGATGAGGATCAAGATGGTGTTCCATCATATCATGGTTCAACATGTTCTCCACACAATTATGATCAAAGTGTTAAAAGGAAGGGTTTTGACATGCCAATAGATCCAATAACAAGAAAAAAAGAGCTTTGTTTGTATGGAACAATAGAGTAAGTTCAAACTTTTAAAAACAAACTTATTAAAGTTATATTTTCAGGTATGAAAAAAATTACTTTTTATTGTGTAATTATTTGGTAGAAAAAATATTCTTTTCCTGAGGAAGATGAGTCGATTGTTCGTAATATTTGGAAAGATAAGGCAAGGATAGCTTTGAATCAACAATTAACACGAGCTCGTAAGAAAGCCATGTCAAAAGAAAACACTACAAATATTGTAGATTGCCTTGATAAAGGTCCTGCCTGGATAAATAATGATGACTGGAATCAAATGATCAAAGATGTTTGGTCCACCCCTGAATTTCAAAGGAGGTCTAAATCTGCTAGGAGGAATCGATTAACCAAAACAGATGGTAAAATAAGCACTCATTCTGGAGGAACAATGTCATTTGCATCATATCGAGCTAACATGGTAAGAATTTTTTTTTTAATGCTTAAGATAATAAATTATAATTTGTATTTTTATCTTTTATAATATTTATTAATCTTGAAAGCAAGAGGAAGCTGGTGGAAAAGAACCTCCATGGGATGATGTCTTTTCAGCTTTGCATCAAAGTACTAAGCAGTCTGGTGGCTTCGTCGACAACAAGTCCAAAAAAGTGGTTGTATGTATTTTTATTTGATTATTTCTTAATATAACTTAATTATCATTTAACATTCAAATGAATTTATT